CAATGCATTAAATGTGCTCTTTGCGTATTCTTTATAAATATCTAAATTTCTAGTGATTTGTTAAAAGGGTAAGAAAGTTTACATGCTGTGTAAAGCATATTCCCTATAAAAGGGATACCTGAGCTCTTACATAGTTGATCCTGATGTGTAGATTTATCTTCATGGTCTGTCAAACAAAATGACAGTTAAAAATTGAGATCTTCAATCATATGTAGTTTTGATCTGGGGAATACAATCAGAATCAGAGGTGTTCACGGGAACTCGTCAAGTCTGTGATAATAGTCCACTTCTGTGGAAGGATGAGCTGACCATGAGAGGTTATAGGTTGATTTGTTAACTCAACCCCAGAGAAATGAGAACATCCACATTCCCCATCTTCTATGACAATGGAATCTCCTAGTGCCATCCTAAGCCATGTGGTTGTAGTCTTTGCTTAAAAATCTATATTGAGGCTAGAGTAAACAATTCAAAGATGTTGTCAAGTGCACATTGAATTAGTTGAGCTCTAGTTTAACCTAAATTTGCTAAAATGGGATATAGTGCATTTGGGATAGGCTAGGAATTTTTTTTTGTAGTCACAAATGACAAATTACTTTTAGTATAGAAAAATCAAACTCACTTTCTAGGTTTTATTGCATCTTCCCTCATGCCTCAGCTACAGTTATTATCCTAAGTTTTATTCACTCCAGAATTCACCCTGAAATATTGGACCCTAGCTAGAAGGAAAGGTAAAATTAAGTGTGGCAAACCATGCACCAGCCCTGCTCAGATATAGCAATAATTACATGGTGCTCCTCGCTGTGGCTGAGATCAGTAGGGCAGCGAATTCCAGCCCTGCTCCCTGCAAGGAGGCAGGTCTCATTGGTAAATGATAATAAAGATTCAAGTCATCAGTCCTACTTGAATAGTTGATGTATTAGACACTTACAGAAGGAGATCCAAAAATGCCTCATAGGGTTCTTACTCTCTGATTCACATAATTTCTCAACTCTCTTTCTTATTTCAGGTTCTTAAAATATTTTCCACAGGTTTCTGGGACACATGAGCAGAACCTGTACTCTATCATGGCAGGGAAATTGAGTCCTGTGATGTTGCTGTGAAGGTGCATGAGCAGTGGGGTCAGACCTTTGTTCACAGGCCATCTGTGCACTGAGAACTGGTGCTCAATTAGAAAACACTAAGTGAATTTGAATAGACAAAATTTTCAGATGTTGATTCACATTATAAGTTTTAAAACATAACTATAAGCTTTAAAATATAACATAATCTCTTTCTTTTCCATGTCTACTTCAAAAAAAATTTTAAGAGCATTTTTAACTATTAAGGAAATAATACCATTAGAGATAAAATATTATTTAAATGTATTAAGCTATGACTTAGTTATCACGCTACGTAATTTATTATAAAGCTTCACCATGAATATTATTATATGTTTTAAGTTCTAGATAGTGTTCTAGTTTGTAAAAATAATTCTGATACTTCAAAAATAGAGCCAATTTTCCAAAAATAGAATAATGTGTGTGACTAAAGTAGTGTTTTGCATAAAGTTCTATCAATA